GCCTAACCTCGAATAAGAGTTGAAGGCGCCCGCATTCCCTCTCCGTATTGTAAATATACGATGGCGTCCCCTGGTTGATCCAGGCCAGGCCAGTCAGTATTCAAATAGTTCGAATAGAGAGGAGTATCTCACAGGAATGTCCGGGAAGGCCACAAAAATGGAGAAGCCTCCACTATTTAAAGGGAGGAACCAGGCAAGGCTGGTCATTGAAGGTATTCCTCCGGGCCAAGGTCAGGAGGGCTGAGTATAGTAGTTTGACAGGTCTCCCCATTAGAGGTCATAAAATGTCAGCTAGCTTACAGCCCCCTCCCCTAATCTCCAGCGAAGAAAAACAGGGTCACCACAGGCAGGTTTTATTCACAAGGACAGCAGGAATGCTTAATATAAAACTATGCCATTTCATTCATCTTCTGATGATGGCTATGAAGAAGATTCACCGTGAAGTAGAATAATGAGTCGGTTTGTCACCCTGTCGGCATACTTGTCAAACTTTGGGTTCTGTTTTTCATGTGGCATCCGTGTCAGAAAGTCATGTGTGGGTAGATTTAAACTTCTTTGACAATAGAAGTTAATCCGACGACAAAGGCCGGGAAGACCCTAAATGGCTCATTTCTCATTTCTTCTCCTTCCACTGCCTATATTCCCAATGACTCGTATGTGCCCCATGGATGATTTAAACTTCTTTGACGATAGAAGTTAATCCGCCGACAAAGGCCGGGAAGACCCTAAATGGCTCATTTCTCATTTCTTCTCCTTCCACTGCCTATATTCCCAATGACTCGTATGTGCCCCATGGAGAAGACGAAGGGGGTGGGAGGGGTCAAGAAGTCCAAAAATACATGACATGAGCAAGTGTAGCCAGTCTCACGTCTCTTATATTCATGTTACTGTAAGCCAGATGTCATGTCTGTGAAGAGGAAAGTGGACAAGGAGTGCCGTGTGTTTCAAGAGAAATGGAGGCTCTTATACTTCTTCACGGAAGCGAATGGAAAGCCGCTGTGCTTGATTTGTAGGCAAGTAGTTGCTGTTCCCAAAGAACACAATCTTAAGAGACATTACGAATCAAGCCATGGTGACAGGTATGACAAGTTCACCGGGAAGTTGCGTGAAGACAAACTGAGTGAATTAGAACAATCGTTGAAAAAGCAGCAATCAGTCTTCACCTCTGTCCGTCACGTAAGTGACGGTGCAGTGAAAGCTAGCTATGTCCTTTCTCAAGAAATAGCCGCTTCCTCAAAGCCCTTTTCTGAGGGAGAGTTCTTGAAGAAATGTATGATGAAAGCTGCAGACTTTGTGTGCCCAGAGAAGCGGCAAAATTTTGCAAATATCAGTCTCTCAAGGAACACAGTAGCCGACAGAATCTGTGACTTATCTGATAATTTGGACAGTCAGCTCCGGGACAGGGCAAAGACATTTGCTTACTTTTCAATAGCAATTGATGAAAGCACAGATGTGAGTGACGTTGCACAATTAGCTGTGTTCGTTCGCGGAGTCGATCAGGATATGAATGTGACGGAGGAGTTCGTGGAGTTAGTGCCGATGAAAGACACAACTACAGGTGAGGACATTTTCAACAGCGTGACTGCAGCGTTGGACAAATTAGATGTGAACTGGGCAAGGGCAGTAAGTGTTGCAACAGACGGAGCCCGTTCAATGGTGGGGAGGAAGGCAGGATGTGTGGCAAAACTCAAAAGCAAAGTGCAGAGTGTCAATCCAGATCGCGAGCTCAGTGCTTTTCATTGCATTCTGCATCAAGAAGCTCTCTGTGCAAAAACCCTGGGCATGGATCATGTGATGAGTGTTGTAATCAAAACAGTGAATTTCATTCGAGCCAAGGCTCTCAACCACCGGCAGTTCAACCAACTTTTGGAGGAAGGTGACTTTCAGCATGGACTACCGTACCACGCTGAAGTGCGCTGGTTGAGTCGCGGGGCTGTGTTAAAGCGCTTCTTCGAACTGCGACGTGAGATCGAAGAGTTTATGAGTGTGAAAGAGAAACACGTGGCTGAACTGCAGGATGAAGGATGGCTACAAGACCTTGCCTTCTCAGTAGACATAATGGGACACCTCAATACCCTGAACACGAGAATGCAGGGGCGCAACCAGGTTGTGACCGAGTTTTACGACACTGTGCGTGCCTTTGAAATGAAGCTAAATCTTTGGGAGAAGCAGCTCTCTCATACATAATGGGACACCTCAATACCCTGAACACGAGAATGCAGGGGCGCAACCAGGTTTTGACCGAGTTTTACGACACTGTGCGTGCCTTTGAAATGAAGCTAAATCTTTGGGAGAAGCAGCTCTCTCAGTGCAATATGGCACATTTCCCAACCTTGAAGTCGCTGGCCGACACCGCTGGGACTGAAAGTGGCAAGGGCTTAGAGAGGTATGTGGTCAAGATTGCTGATCTCAGGCACGAATTCCAGAACAGGTTTTCTGACTTTCGGAGTCATGAAGGGAAGTTCAGACTTTTCACCGCTCCATTCTCCATCCCTGTGGAAGATGCCCCTCAGGAGCTGCAAATGGAGCTCACTGATCTTCAGTGCGACACTACGCTGAAGGGGAAGTTCCTAACAGTTAGTATTCAAGAATTTTACCGATACCTGGGAGAAAATTATCCAGAAATGAAATCCTTCGCTTCAATGGTGCTATCCATGTTTGCGAGCACATATGTGTGCGAACAGATATTCTCAGTGATGAACATCAACAAGTCAAAACTGCGCTCCAAACTCAGTGACAAGCACTTGAACGCCATCCTGAAAGTGGCCTCGGCCCAGTCCTTGGAACCAAACATCGAGGAGCTCGTTATAGCGAAGAGGTGCCAGGTGTCTGGGAGCAGCACTAGCAGTTCGTGACGTGTGTGCTGAAAACACCTTTTTTTTCAATTATACCCATGTTCTTCATTTTTCTTAACAGAACTATGGGAAATATTTTACAACGATGAATCGAATTTGGCTGACACGTCTGGGGGTCTGTTTCTAACTAGTTTTTAAACGTCTGAATTTTTAAGCGGGTACATGCTGACAACTGCCATTGTTGGGCAATACTTAAATTTGGTGTGTTACAACGTTGGTACAAAAACACATTTCGGTAAATAAAAATAAAAATATATATATATTTGGTGCGGCCCGCAGGCACCTGCAGGGTGAGGAATGTGGCCCGCGGACCGATTTGAGTTTGACACCCCTGTTCTAGGGCAATCATATTTCTTTGTAAACAGCATTGTACCTTCACATCCTTTTTGAGTATTTTCTTTTCATGGTTGTGTAGATGTTCACTGCTTTTAGGACATATACAGACAGGAATGTTGGCATCACTCATTCACACTGAGAATGGTATGCAATAACTACAGAAAAATGAATGATCATACTGCTTAAATAACTCCTCTATCAACAAATAGACAAGTTTCATTGTCTGATGCAACATTAAAGATCATGTAGGCATCTGAGTACCAACGCTGGTACAATGACTATAGATGTCTGTAACCCATTCTTTCAAACTTATTTTCAATTATAAATGTGTTATATAATTTGTAAGCCACAGAAAAGAATGGAAAAGAGAAGACAGGAGTATATAAATGACACTGTAGCTATCCTCTTGTAATAAAATGAAAGTATCCTAATCCAAAAAATCAGAGTTTCAAGATATGATCATTTTATTTCACTGACAAAAAAGTCCATCCCATGAAGAGTCTTCAACATTCAGGGAGAATGGAAGCAAACATTCCAAGTGGATGAAAAAAAGAATCTTTGACAATACAGTCTCCATCCCAATATGCCAAGAGGAATGCCTTCTAATCTATCTCATCTGAATACATTTTACCTTGAATGATCCTTTTGGTCGCAGTGAGAAGGTGAGGACTCACTTCAACCCTGAAGCTTATAAGTCACTACAAGATTCAGGAAAAGTGAAACATTGGCAGGTTATTTTTCCAAATAAAAAAAATTATTGACACTCCCATTTTGGAGAATCACTGCATACTAAATTATTGTGATTCCCCAGGGCAGATACCCATGGCAATGAAGTTCCAGTAGTAACCTTAGCAGCCAAGGATATTGAATGGATGCAGAATTAAGATTAACCTGGGTTAAATTCATGTCACCCTGTGAAATGCAAAACTGGTTCTATTCCAGCTGTGTTATCATCCTTACAAGTTACAACATGACCATATGGAACACACATGAAGACCAAGGTTGTTGTTTTGATACTGGATGCTTGAGGGCCTCATTGTGTAATTTGAAGAAATAGCAGGGTTTCCCTTCATTTCAGGACTCAAGACACTAAGGACCTATTGACCCCCATGATGATCCTGACACTGAATGACAAATAGTTGACAACGACTCCGTTTCAGACTTCCTACAATCATAAGCCTTTCAAATGAATGCATACTTTTCATTTGTATTCCATTTCAATTGAGGAAGATAAAGTTACTTGCAATAGAGTCACACCATGCTGAATAATGAAATATGGGAGGAAAATGTCAGCTAGTGATAGAATTATTCAATTCCTCATAGACTCCTTGTAGTTGGATGGTTTATGTTGGAGTGATTGTAGAAAACCATAACATAGAAGGTAATAAGTACAGACAGAGACAATCAGAGACTCACTGTATAGACATGAAAATCTTGTCCAGCATCTCCTGATCAAAGTCAAATCCACCATTGACTCCCTTGAGGTTACGCTTGAAGTCTTCCACTGTCATTGGGTTGTTCTGCTTCTTAACATTGCGATTATGCTGGTCCACGTTCAGCATGATAATGGCATAGGCCAGGGTGAAGGCTGCATCTGCATTGGCAAATGGCTCCCCATTGCTCTTCTGCAAGTGCTCAAACATAATTTGCGAAAATAAATGAAAATATAAAAATGAAACAGACTGGCTTGAAAAAGTATGGAAAATATCATAATATGTTACATGCAATTTGCTGTCTGCACCTGTACCTTCAAAAAATGAACTGAACTACTTGGGCATAGTTGAGTAATTAGGCAGTTTTCTACAATGCTTTTATCATTGGCCCTGTTCAGTCTTTCTGCAACTGACAAGGTCATTTTTGTGAATCACTCTGGTCTCTAAGTTGTTTTCATTCACTAAAGATCTGAGCATCTCTCTAATGCATCCAGTGGCACTGAACCAAGTGAAAAGTTGAACAGAGCCAATTTTGGCTAAATATATTCAACTTTTCATGAGATTGACACATCAGTTATTTCACATTAGGAGTTCAACAGCTCTATAAGCTGTTGTGCATTTTGTGGATTTGCTTCAATTTGACAAAGGTTTGCCTAATTGAATTAAAAAAAATAGGCATGCCAAACATTTCTACACTCACAGTTTCCAGGATATAAGGTCACAAAAATTTGACCTGACATGCTACTGCATGGATCCTACAGCACAGTTTTCTTAATATTTCAGAAACTATTCAAGCTAGAGGAATTTCTTTTATCCCTCATTCCAGAGCTCTTCAAGTGGCTTTTCAAATTCCTGCATCAATTATAATTTGAGCACAACTATGTCTAAACAAGGTGCTTGATATTCAACTTTGAGAAGCATCAATACCCTTTTTTTAAATTGGCATTCTCAAAGAACAAAGACTGCTAATGAGGCAGATCAAATTTCAGGTGTTTTTCCTGGGTACTGATTTACTTATTTTCAAATGAAACCATAAACAAATTATTTAAAAAAAAAAACTCTTGCTGGCTGGAGGCATGAGGACAAGTTAAGAAAAATTTATATCAGGTAAAAAAAATGAATGTGTCACCATGCATAGCACATCCTATATCATTGGTGTCCAATGGGATTTTGATGCTCACCAAACTTGTGGTGATCAAACACCATATTCACCATATGATATAAAATATATATGCAATATTAATAAAAAGAACGTGCAATCTTTTGAAAGAAGAAAAAATATAACTGATGAAGAGCATCAATTTGCCACATGTGGCGAGTGGCAAACATGTTGGACACCATGGACCTATAATTTTTAAATAGGCATTCTAACAGAAACTTCAGGTGCTGCACTTAATAATAGGAAATCTGCATCAACTCCATAGTATTCTACTCATTATCGATTTCTCATATTTAGACTCAGTTTGCCTGCATGAGTGGATTGACAAGACAGAGAACATGAATTACATGAAAAAGCATGCTTGTCATGCATGTATTTCAAATTTGAAGGATGAGGATAGTCTATTAGGAACAATAAAAATACATTTCTACTCCTTGTCCCTCCCATGATTCTGTCTCTAAGTCACTTTCCTGAAGTGCCAATCCTCATTAAGCAGTGTAGCAATGACCCTTTTGATCTAGCAGAGCAAATCTTTTAGACCATGAAGACTCACTAGGGTTAAGTCCTCTGAACAACAAGGTGGTTTGACATAAGACATGACATGACATCACAAAAGCTGACACATTTGAGATTGAACAATCCCTATGTGATTTCCCAAAATGGCTTGTGCCTAATTTTTGCATGAAATATCAATGACTTACATGCCAATGATCTGCAAAATGTTCCATGATGAGTGATATAAGTGGAGCTTCACCAGGCAGTCGGAAGGTCTCCAGATAGAGGCGCAATGCCTCATCAATTCGCAATTCACGAAAATCAAAAGACCTGTTATGAATGCAGTCAAATAAGCAGTGGAAAAGCCAATACATACATAAAGGATGTAAAAATTTTCTTCTTCACTATTTTTTAATCAGGAGCATAAATAAAGACAGTATCAAGTTTAAAGACTAGATTATGTACCTCCTGATACAACTGTGCAAATATTTGAAAGCATCAACTAATTTACATGAAAGAATCTTCTAAAATATTTTCCCAAGACATTGTTTTTAATTATGCAATACTGATTTTGGTTACTGAGATCAGCGTTAAGCGACTTTGAATCCTCAGTAACTTCCATCAATCCATGAAAATCTGAAAGACTGATTTTCTGAAAAAAAAAGAAAAAATGGAAGATTAAAATGTAAAAAACCTCACTTGACAAAGGCTTCCAGAATGGACAAATTTTTGCGGTTTGAAATGTATTCACCAATCATTTTCTTATCCAAACGATGGTTGTCTCTGAGAAACAAGGCAACCTCATCTGGATCAAGCATGTTGCTGAGGAGCATATTATCCTGCATGAACTGGATTCCCTTGGACGCCTTGATGTTGAACTGTTCACTTCCAACAGCAAGCAGCTGGAATGCAATGATTAACCCATATATGAGAGCCATACAATAGGCATTGCAACACCTATGTAAGTTGAAAAATGCTTCTGTCTCAGACTTATCACATCACAGGGCATCAAAATAGTCACTCTGCCTGTCATGAAGAAGTTGGCTTATTCCTGGGAGTCGAGTGTGAAAAGATATTCTTTATTTTCTGCAGATATGTAGCAGCACCCTAAATGGAATTATTGCATTGACTCTTTGAGGAGTGAGTTTTCTTAACCCTTTCAGGAGTATAGACATACCAGTATGTTCATACTCCTAAAAGGGTTAAGAACAAAGAGTCTTCAATAAGATTCAAACAGCAAGTGGTCATGATGCTAAGAAAAGTCATAGAGGATTGCAGGAAGCATGTGGTAATGTTGTTTTGCCATATTGGACTGTGACCCACTGGGAGGCCATGTTCTACACAATACAAGAATCTGAATGATCTGGATGCTGCTTTAGGGTATGCCATCATAAAAATAATAAAAATGTTGGAGATGTAATGATATTACATGGATATTGGTATTGGGTACTAGAGATTTTCATAAATACCTGTGATCCCATATTTTGCTCTGCCAGTATCAGATCTTTGAGTGCATGATGAGTGCCTGTTCTCCCAATCTAATCACTGAATGAAATGGAAATTAAGGAATTCCCTTTTCCACCACAGTAGGAGGGGAAGCAACCAACTGAAAATCACTGTAGCTTTGAAAATATCCATGTTGACCTGAGCCAGCTATGCAGCATTGATGCAATGGAAACTTTCTCAGACTAAAATTTTAGGACTTGGAGTGAATCCTTCACAATCCAAAGTCTATTCCATCTTATTCTGTATAACAGATGGGTAGAGGAGTGAAAGAAAAACCTGTTTCTTGTTCTTTCTAGCTCAGCACTCAAGTGACTTTTGCCTATTTTTTCAATCACATAAGCCAATGGTGCAAAACCTCTATATTATAGAGGGTCAAATTTAAAGTTTCAACTCATGTTTGAGGGCCACATATATTACCAAAACATCTGCCATATCTCCTCACTTAGTGTTAAGCAGTTATTTTGTGGGTAAGTGTGACTTCCTGAGCAATGAAAGAATGAAGCAATGGGAAGGTGTACACCATCCTCATACACACCAGGCACACTTCTTAGGTTGGAGATAGAGGAAGCGAGATTTGCAGTCTCCCAATTTCAGTGGTTATGAAACAAAAAATCAGTGGAACAGCATGTAAATATCAGCCAATACCAATTAACACCAATCCTCATGATATTGGCTGATATTTGGCACCTGGTATCATATTGATGCATCCCTTGTGATAGCAACTCATCACTAATAAGCATGTCACAAATGATCCATACCTTCTTTTTGTGTTTGACAGCCATGAGTTCCTCATGAGTGGGGATGTTTTCTGATACAGGGAAGGAAGGTCGATAATCTGCTTCTTCCACCGAAGTTTGTTGACTACCTCTTAGCAGAGGTGGGGGGGGGATAGGGGAATTGGGGGAATGCAAGGTCGTAGCCCCCATCTGATGACGCTCAGCCAGCATTCGGGAGTTGCAGTGATGCTCAATGGCATCAATCACGGTCAGCAGCGCATCCACAGACAGCAAGTGGGTTGAGTACAGTCCCGTCACAGGAAATGCATTCTAGATTGAGTGGAAGAAAGCACCATTAGTTAAGTCACCAGGTCAGCACACAGGACAGAGCCACCATGGAAAATTTCTGATTTCTGCATTACCATTCAGCATTTTGACACATGCCGCTTTCAATGCTCATAAAAAGCAAAGTTTGTTGTTGAAACAGATGGTGCACAGCAAAATGCCATCATGAGCCTCTCTTAATATACCAATAATTGGATACAAAAACATTATTTCTGTGCCTTCTTTGTCAATATTACAATAAGTTTTGACAAAGTCATCTACAAACACATGATAAGTAACCATGACCAAATATATATCTATAGATTTAAAATTCCCTTCATAAGCCTGAATGGATCATGTGTGGTTTTCATTAAACAAGATGGTGATAGAAACCAATAAGAAAATGTTTTTTAAAAAAATATGGAAAATTGTGAAAGTATAGTGAAATAAGCTTCTGTAGAATATAATAACATAGCCCCCCCAATTTGAAAATATGAATATAATAAGACTGAGATTTGAACTCAAATATGCACTTAATGTCTAACATATGGGACTCACTTCATGCATGCAAGGATTTCTCATAGAAATACAGAGCATTTTCACATGCAGTGTGGCAAAAGAAAGCAGTTGCAGAGACCTCTGTTTCCACTGTAACTCACTTTGGAAAGGAGTTTGGTGAGATCCTCAAACAAGTTGGAGCAGTTCAGATCACAGTCATAGTTTACATACAGCTCTGTCACCAGACCTGGAATTCTCCACAATTGCACTATGCTGTCTGTAAATATGAAGAACAATAACAGTAAGCCAGGACTGGGTCCAATAATATAAATGGAAGCAACTAATGGAGAGGAAAACAAAAAGAGAAGAGGAAAATTTTAAAAGGAAACAGGTTGACACAACACACCAAGTGCTACCTCCCGTTGCTCGTAGGGAATACGTGGGGTGTCAGCAACTATTACCCCCATCAGCCGGATGAGGTACTTTTCAAGCTGGAACTTCAGGTGAACCCGAAGGGATTCAAAGAGGAAGAACCCCACTCGAAGGGTAGCTGCAAACATTGACAGCCTCTCTGTGGCTAACAGCTGCAAACAAAAGAAAACTCATATGTTAAGTTGGGGATTTTTTCAAAGTATGGAGAACATGAGGGAAAAAGCAAAGAGGGCACTAGGAATATGAAACAAAATCCAATTCCACCTTTGGTGAACAGGCAATTTTAATTTCATAACCAAAACAGTAATACAATTATTATCATTATAACAGATGTTTTCATAGGTCTTTTTTAAGGTAATTTTCTTGAAAGTGGCTTTTGAAAACAGAAACTTCTACAATTATACCTATTGCAAAAAAAAGACAATGATTTAAGAGACATGCCTCTATGAGGTTGCGAGCCATGTCATTCCGAACAAGGGTGAGCATGGAAGGGAAACGATGGAAGTGGTGTGCACCAGCTTCCAAGGCCACAGCCAGGAGATTCAGGGAAATGTGGATCATGAGGTCTGTGTGCTGCTTCTCATGAGGATTGATCAATGCTGACAGGAAATGGAGCAACTCTCGCAGAGCTGGAAGCCCATAAGGGATCAAAGCCACCTCTCCTGCATTCTCTATGGGAGGGAAGGATTTCCAAATGTAGTTTCCATCTTTATTTAGTTTGGACATATGATCATAAAGGGCAAGGAGCTCAAGACAATCCAAAAAACCAGAATATACAGAAACAGAACTTTAAAGATTAGGGAATTGCAGTGTATTGGTATTTCCTACTTATAAATAATCGGTTTCCTCATAATCATACTAATTCCTTGAAGCTTCAATATTATTCATTGTATAACATGTGGTATGCAATCCATAAAAATCACTGAATAAAGCCTATACTGATTCACAAGCCATTCATACTGAGGATAAGACTGGTATCATAGTGGTGCCTTTGAAGGAAAAAGAGAGGTTTATAGGTTTGCATTCATACATCAGGATTCCTGGAATCTCCTTTCTAGGAACAACATAATCTTCATCAATTGAGCTTCTCTTCTCATGAGAGGAGATTCAGTAATTATTCAGTTTAAATTCAGCTAAAGGATGCTGAGATTCAAAATCACTGATTTGAGTTTGAAAATATAAAAACAAAGCACGACAGCATACCAGAAAGAAAGAGCAAGAGGATGAAAGGAATGGTTGTTTTTTCTTATTACCCCATTTTATGATATGTGTGCATGAGATGCATGTGGCTGTATGAGTGATATTATCATCACCTATTGAGATGCAGCCACCAATTGGTTATGAGATCATGATAGAGGCCAGAAGTGATAAGAGTGAGAGAGAAGAGGAAGGGGCAAGTGAATAAGTGTGGGGCAGTGGATGTAGCAAAAAAGTAGATTTTTTCCCTCTCTTAGTCATTCTCCAGGCCAATCTCCTGTAAGTGCTGAAGCTACCAAGTCTGTTGAACCCTTTCACCACTGAGTTATATTTGGGACAGCAGCTGAGAGTGATGATGGAAAACAAGTGTACTTGGGAGTGCAGTGAAAAGGTTAAGCAAGAAAACCTCTTAAGTCAGTTGCCCATCCTTGCTAACAACTATATGATGCAACTATATTTTCCTCCAATTCCTCATTTTTAAAAGTTAGTAGATAACAGACATGCAATATACATGCAGTGACAAAGCAAAAAGACATAATCTGTTCCCTAATTGGATTTGCTTTATTCATTTAGTTAACCTCCTCCTAACTCCTCACCAGTAACACAAAAAAAGGAAAAAAAGTTGGGCATACCCATAGACCAACAAAGACTTGCATGTTTTAAAACATAGAGCACTGCCCCATCAGAGACTACAATGGAAGACACTTGAGTGCTTCTCTTCCATGAGATTCTAAAAAATTATAATCTCTGTAAAGAATGGCATTTTTTCACCCTGCAATACAGGCCCACCATGCAAAGAGTATGACCCTGACAATGCAAAAGTACATACCATTGTGTGATACATAGTGAATAACAAAATCTGTATAAACAATCCCAGGGAAAAACAGGAAGATCTTGACTGAAAGGAGCACACCTTTTACAGAAAATCAGAAATCTTACTTGTCGAAAACAGCACTTGTTACAGTGAAATAGTACTCTGCATTGCACCATGATTCAGCTTCCAGTCCACTCAAAGTAGTATGCTCTGGCAGTGTAGGCATCAGAGATTCACATACCCTCAGATGGTTTCTCCAGGAGGTGATGGGTAAAACGGACTCCCTGTTGATTCACATATTCCCTTTTTTCTTCTGGGGGGAAGCTGACAGTCACTCCAGATTCATGTACACTGCTATCTAGAGGAATCCCTGTTTCACCTTCCAAATCTGAGTAGGCTTTCTCCACTTCCACCTCTGATTCCATCAAATAAAGTAAATTGTCATTTTTAACTGCTAACAGTAACCCAGCCTAATATGTTTCAGACTCTTCTACTTGGGTTCAATAGGATCAGATTTATATACAAGTTACTGGTATTATAAATGCAGAAGGCTCAAGTTCAGTTTGGTATGGGTTAACATGCTCCATTTCAGTCTGAATGTGGGGCATAATGACAGGAAATAAGGGCAGGAGAAAAAACTGGCAGGAGTGAAAAAATTAGATCACAGCAATATGCCAACTCTTGGCAAAGAGAACAAGAGAAAGGGGAATCAGGCCTGGAGCAAGGACAAATATGACACCTAAGCCTGAAATATTTGTCAGAAAGGAAGTACAGGGTGGTGCAAAAGTCATGCACCATAGGGTAAATTATGGTAAAATTTCACAATTTTTCTCATTAACTTAAAAACACTTCGATTTGCTGCAAACATGATGTTTGAACATATCTTAATTCCCCCCTCTTACTTTTTGTCAATTTTGCAGTCATCACTTACTTACAAAGAAAGAAACAAGAATTAATGTTGTGCAGCATTGAAATCCCCTATGGTGTGCAACATTTGTGCTACCCTGTATACTTCACTTTCCTGTTTAAGGCACAATTTCTAGCATTCCCACAAAGCCTGGGTGAATCTGAATTGAAAAAACTGAATTTCAAATTAATTTCAAATTTGACCTCTTCAAATGTATTACACTTGGTTGTCTATTTCCTGAGTTTGGTTTTCCCTCAAGTTAACACATTGAGGACAGGTCACGCGTTCACTTATTTTTTCAAGTATGCACAGGAAGGACAGGTCACGTGTTTTTGTTTATGACCAAGAACCAAGCAACTCCTGTTATCTGTTGAGGGTTTTTTGAACTGTTTGAACAGCTGTCATTGAGTAGGAAGCTTGTAGCTTTATGATGGTTACCTAAAATGCCTGGGAACCAGGGGTATAATGGCATGTATTCATGCAGTCCTAAATGTGCTAAAGTTGCTGACCTTAAAATTACTCAACACTATTTCTCTTCTGCTTAATTTCTTTTCATATTCTATTGTTCATTTGCTTTCCACTACAGTAGAGAGAAACTGATTGAAATAAGACTGAGATAGGTAAAGAAGTTCTTTTTTTTTTCTTCCTCATTTGGCAGAATCAATATTATGAACAGCAATAGGTTTTACCATGCTTTATCCTCTTCACATTCACATAGGGTATGTTAATATGTATATTGTCTGTGAGCCAATTTCTGTGACAAAGTAAAACAATTCTGAGGGGAATTATGATGCATTTTGTGGACCTCCTCAACCTAGTGCATCATCATTCTTTCCTTCAAAATCACTTCCATTCACAGGATCATTTCATTACTGATCTAGATTCTCATGGATCATAGGAAGCAATGGCACATATTAAATCAAAACTGTGTTGAGTTAATCAAACCCAAGGTGATTAATAGGGAAAAGGTGAGACTTTTGCAGCAAATACCCAGACCCTGTATGCACTATTTTTTTAATACAATAGTGGCAGCTAAGGATCTGAATAGTAAGCCACAAAACTACAATAACTAGTTGAGTGTTGTCAATACCAATTCGCAGGGAATGCTGAATCTGAGCAGGCAAAGGATGAGATTCTTTATGCAAGAATTTTTTCTTTAAAAAATAATGATTCAAACAGAAAAATTGATTAGTTACCTGATACTAATATTTTACATAAGTATGAAGAATCAAAGATTTGTCACTACTATGATGCCAAAGAATTTCAGAGCTATAAAAAGTAAAGAAATAACAAGAATTAGCATTTGGACATTGTTGTTCTTCAGTGAATGACTGAATAATCCATTTTGGATATGCAATAACTCATACCATCCATTAATTTTCATGCTTGTGGAATGGTTCTGAAGCCTCACCCTTTTGTTCATCTTTCCCGATGTCTTCATGAATGGAGTCAAGGGGTGAACCCAAATCCATATGGATGATCTTCCCAGAAGGGGGCATGGGAGTTGTGGACAAGATGGCAGATGCAGCAACAGGTGCCAGTCGTTCAACAGGAGTCTTCAATGGCTGCTCTTCACCTAATAACAGGGAAAAAATCATCATCAGGGGCAAAATACTGCAGTAACAATTACTTAGCAAACAAATTCTTATACTCTTCATCCCAAATTATGCAAATGTTGGCATCAGCTCCATATCACTATTTACTGATTTATAGCTCATCTGATTACAGTGGCAACTTTTTTATAACAGGTACTATTGTACACATATATGGCAGGGGTGTTCAACAACTCTGAGATGTTCTGCAAACTCTCAAGATTCTTTATCAACATCCTAAAGGTCAACTCTGCTCCAAAAGTCTGGATCTGCTAATCCTGTTAGATGAACCCTAATGGTAAGCTTTGTGTTTGTGACCAACTTTTCTTACGGTCAAACTCAGACAGCCAGGACACGGCCAAGCACCTGACAAACAAATGTCACTTTCCCCTTCCCTGAATGATCATAATTGTCTCATCTTTTAAATATCAAATAACACTGGTTATAAAGTGCATTAAATGTGTACTGAATAAGTCGCAAATGTTATTTTTAGGTATTAGTATGGGAAATGACATGATGTTGCAGAGGATGCATAAGACATGTACCTGGGTCCACTGATCCCTCAGATGGAGATTCCACATGTACAATAGGAATGACGAGACTGGGACGTGCTTGAATTTCTGGCAGATGATCAGCCTTCACTACTTCAGGAACCTGTGAGACTCCTCGCTGCATCTTGGTAACAGGTAGTGATTCCTTTTCCTTTTCCATTTTTGGTTTATGCTTCTGCTTCTTCCTTGACTCAAGGCTCCCTGTCTTGAACCGCAACTTCTACAACAGCAAGAAACCTAACAACTGAATGCCATCCAACTGCATTTTCAACCACCAGATCAAGACCAGATCAAGCATCCGAGTAAGTAGCAGGCTTCATGGCATTCAAACTTACTTTGAAAACTTTAAGTTTAGGTTCCTGCCCAATACCTGACCAAGGAAGCAACTAATGGATTCAAAGTAAGAGCTGTGGTGGCTTAATGGAGCCCTTCCCCACATGGCTTAAAAATGCCATGTTTTTGGGACAGAAGTTTTCTGCTCACTATGGAGATTATATCCAGAGCAGGAAAAATGTGATCAATGGCTATACATCTGAATTGGGGAGGCTGCATAACTGTGCCTCCAAAAGTGGCAATAGGTGGAATTTTGCTCATTTCTTTTCTGCATTCAACTACTGTAGAAAAAAATGCACAGACCTGAAGCAGGCCTCTTTCCTTCCAATAAAAGACAACACAAAGGAAGCATACAACAACTCTGTACTCCAAAAAATATTTAGAAAATCAGAAAATTTTTCACCTAGCAGCATCTCTATTTCCTATTAAAATTTCCCAAAATGTTTCACACCACAAGTCCCAGTCACATGGTGGAAGCAAACAGGGGATGACTTGGGGCCACATCATACTGCACTCTTGTATTTTTTTTTGTGCTTTCCTCTTACTCTCCTCAGAGTCCACAGTCAAAGAGTGTGAAAAGTAGCTTATTTTGGTAATCATGGGTCTGTTAGTTCTTAAAACAATTTTTACAGCACAGAAGGTGCAAATATTTTGAAACTTAACTGATAAAAGATTCCCCAAGATATAACACTTCTCTAAAAAATCTTTTGGAAAAATGGCAAAGGAAAACACTTCACTCAGTGAATGCAGTTAGAGAAAATTGTTTTATGATGAAATGAAATAAATGCATTGAGCAAAGCCACCTATTTCATATGCCATGTGAATAAGAGGGATGTGAGTTGCAGCCAAAGCAGAACCATGAGAGCTGCTGAAAGATGTGTTACTCTGAACAATCTATAAATAATTGCATATAAGGGGACACCTACAGAGCAATACAAGTTCAATAGAGTGTAATTAGCTCAATAAGCCTCAGTAGTTTCACTCAATGGCAAGCTGTCAGATGGAAAAATGACCATGAAGGCGAAAAAGAATAAAGGACTCAAATCTAAGCAAAGAAAGATGTCTATGAGTTTGAAGTTCCTCCATAAAGATATGTTCCCATGGTCAGTAAATGCCATAGAGGGGATTTGTAACTGAAAATAAGCTACTTTAATGTAATTCTTCCTGAAAGACTCCTGCATACCTTATAATCATACCATCTCTATTCATGTTCATCTGTAATAGTGGTCTTTTTTATCAAGAGTGTGGAAGGAAAATGCAGTCTGACTAGAAGTATTTTAAAGATGCGAGACTTAGAATTAGACAATTGAGACTTTGAATCCATGAAAGGGTCCCTGCCTTTGTTTGAGCCCCAGAGCAGTCCTCTTCAGACATCAAGCGTAGCCGGGAGAATAGGAGCTGGACCAGGTCCATCAAGCTGTGTTCTGCTGCCTTACGAAGCAATTCTGAAGGAGAAAAAAATGGCACTCTGGTAGAAACAAAAGCACACAGTATGCTGGTAAAGAAATATTGTAACCAGAGGTTTTTCTTTTAATTTGGAAAGCATCCAACTATAAGGATAAGGAACTCACCAGAGAGCCTCATTTCAAAGCAGATTCGAAAGGAGGACTGCATTATCTCACATACACTCTCATTTGTAAGTAGTGCCCCAACTGGAGATAGCAATAGGGTTCGCAAGACCTGGAAAACAACAAGCTATCAAAATCAGACCATCAACTGCAGTCCACAATGAAAGCATTTTCATGTTTTTTCCCACACACAATTCCCCTTTTCAAGTATTTGATACCAAATGGGCAATATGCACCTGATTGACATAACTTCAAATAACTTAACCCTTTAGGTACTAGGTTCAGTAAAGGCATGCAACATGCTCAACTAGAGCTGTGTTCAATATTTTACTTACCAATGAATGCCCATGATACCTGCCATAAGCATACAATCCAAGGACAAAGATTGTTGCATATGCGACAGTAGGACAAGAACTGTAAATTTTTAATTGAGTATATGTGACAGTAGGCCAAAGGAGTAGTAGTATACCTGTCACATATATGCAACCATAGAACCTAAAGGACTAATAATCAGGTTCCAATAGATCCTTTGAACTGGCTAGATCTTACACCCAAAGAGATCCAAGCTGCGAAAATACATATATGCAATTTTTTTCCTTCAGATTCATTTCAACCACTTTCAGTCATTATAGTCCAAGGGAACCAACTGATCTCAGCCCATTAGGTCAAGACAAATTCAAACATGTCTATCAACACACACTTTTACATAGGTCAGTCAAATGAAAACCAGAAAAGTGTTATTACTTTTGTCTGTATTGCATTGTAAGTTTGAAGTGTTGCCACATCCCCCGTATTCCCTGGAATCAGCACCGAGTGACTTTCACCTGTTTGGGCCACTCAAGCAAGCACTTGGTGGCCAGCATTTCACATCAACTGAGGAGGTTCAGGCAGCAGTGCATGAATGGTTGTGCAGTCAGCCACAATATTTTTTCTCTGCAGGCATCCAGGCTCTGGTTTCACATCGGCATAAGTGCATTCTTTTGTCAGGAGATTATGTTGAAAAATAGCACAGCCAATCAAATGCAATGCAACATAGACCAAGTAATAACACTTTTCCGGTTTTCATTTGACTGTCCCTTGTATTAAACAGTGAAATTTAAGATACATGCAGGAACTAACCTGGAGAATCTTCATGAGTACAACCTCATCACTGGCATTGTCTGTTCCCACAAAGCGGGCATGGGTGACAGCATCTGCAATTGCTTCCACAGCTGGTGCTGCTGTAGGACTCTTTTCATCTTGGATAACCAATAAAAACAGGAAGACTTGGGGTTTTCAAATCACGAACACACAAAGGGTCGAATAAGCAAAGATAAGAAGAGAGTGTATCAGCCATATCACCTATAAGACCATAAGAGAGGAATTTGTTGACAGCTGACAATGCCAATCCAGTGACAGGACCAGTGATCTCTTCTGATCTGATCACATCCAGGAATGGGGCTGAGAACAGAGAGGCATTCGATATTTATTTATCCAAAACTACCACATTTAACAAATGTGTACACTTATGTTTCTGGCAAGCTCACCTAAATAGGTATTAGGATCTAGGTCAGAGAAGTTCATGACATGATTCATAACATCTTTGAGGTCTGCAAAGTCTTTGAGAATGCCTTCTGGGCTTGAATCCTGATAGCTATGAGATCCCCACCGGGAGGTCCTCCTCATAGCAGTCAGGATGATAGTCATCTCTCCTTGAATGATATAGAAACTGTTCCCTGGTGGCATCTTGGGGGAACTGTTTGAGAAAATCTAAGAAAGAAAGTGGAAACAGGTTTGAAAAGAACCTGATGGCATCTTTTTGAATTCGGGTCCTAAAAGGTCAAAATATTATTGCACTAGTTTTCAACTGCTGCCTGTTCCATCTGTCACATATCAAGTCAAGTTGTAGGCAGATGCCTAGACCTATACCAGGCATTGTACGTCTTGCACACACCACCAGAGCACCATGCACACGGTGTGCACTCGCATAGTACGTCTCGCGCACACTAAGGCAACATGCCCCTATGTAAGAGGGTTATCAAAGCCCAACATACCACACGTGAGGAAGTTGTTGCGTAAATTGGGGGACCGTTGGAGTCATCTTCACTACCAGCGTAAAATGCTGCACGGGCACAGCTTTACCTGTCCCGACCTGACCCAACCCGAGCCACTGTTCTTGCGCAGTCATTTGAGCCAATTTCCTTGCGTTTTCGACGTTTTGACATGCTCACGGCTTGTTCGTCGTTTTATGCAATTTATGCCGGCCTATGCATTCACATTTTGCCAGCAGTGTTATATAAAAAGTATATATAAATATATAAATATATATAAATACTTTATATATAAAGTATGCGTTCTTCCAGTGGGAGAGGGCTTAAATAAATTAAAACGTATTCCAGACGTGGAGGTCGGTTTTCATGATTTGACATCAATGCCTCACCAGGGCGTGGGAGGTCAGCCGGGCGCGAGACGCACTCTAACGTAGGAGTGGACAAGGATGCACGGTGTACATGGGTGGGCGCAAGATGTACTCTGGGTGGGGGGGGTGTGCGCAAGGCGAACAATGCCCCCTATACCTACCCCAGTGGAGGGAAGGAAGAACTAACATTTGCTTAGGTTATACCTCTTGTCCGCTCGGCCTATGCTGAGGTGATACGCTTAACGTGAAGTACCTCATTTATGTTAAGTCACATTGAGGTCATCTTAGTGTAAGATAGATCTGACACCTACGTAGCCAAGTGGGACACTGTTCACCTTGCACGCAGTTTCACATCCAAATTTTATGATGTGCATTTCGTCCTCAGGCATCCTATGTTTCTCACTCCCATCCCTTTTCCCTATCTCAGGACTAGGCAGGTTGCCTCCTGTTGTGCTACTTCAACATGTTGAACTTCTATTAATAGCGTTACATATTTCGATCGAAACAGACTTGAGAAGCACAAGAACTAAAGAAATGCGTAAATAAAATGCAGCTACATCGTGAGATTACTCGGATGTGGACTAAAAAAAAAAAGTCAACAGAGCCACACATGGACCACGTCATGGTCTACACTGCTACTAGAAGGGCGCCATGGCAGATGCAGTGTTGCCCGACACGGACTTGTAATATTCCACCACTCTATCCGCAGCATTCCTTTCTCTCTCTCTCTCTCTCTCTACCTCTACCATCATCCTTCGCGGTTGGTTTTTTCATGGAAATAATTGCGTGCCTGGTGGTGGCGCTAGTGTCAGGGTCAATAGGAGAAATAGATTGAATTAAATTGCTTTTTATTTCCATGGATTCTGGTCGCAAAAATTACAGCCCAAGACAGACGAAACCGGGAAAGGTTCCGGGCGACCGTGCGGTTCCGTGACCGAGACGACGGAGGAGACGATTCCGGTGCCGAAAATCGCGTGCCTCGCGATCGGGTCGTGGTCGTGGAGTGGGTACCGAGAATTTCCGTTTCGTTTTCGTCGTGGTGTGCATGACGCATGACGCATGCCGCCCGATCGCCTTCTCGAACCGTCGTCACGGTCGTCGAGACGTCTGATGGCATTCGGAGCCGAATCCCTTCCAAGATGCGAGAGCTCGCGGTCGTCCGACTCCGACCGCGTCGCTACGACGCTCGAACGCCGGCGGTCGAGTCCTTCGTCGGTTCGAGGATGCCTGCTCGACTCCACCGTCGAACGGTTGAGCCCTCTGCTCGGTGGCGAGAAAACGTTCCTACGAAACTCCGAGAACCGTTAACGACGTGTTGCTTTCGAGAACGTCGATCTCGTCGTTCGTGCACGCTTAGATACGGTATATTTTAGGTCCGGGCGAAGAGCGACCTCGAAAGGGGGCCAAAGGGGCCTCGGAACGAAGCAGAAGAGAGCCACCTTCTGGGGAAAGAGCGAGAATGCGAGGTCGCCGGTCCTAGTACGAACAAGAAGCCGCACGTGAAGCTGCAGAAAGCCGTCAGGGGAGGTATGGGACGTACGAGTAAGAGATTCGGCGTGCCAAAATCAACCGGTCTCGTCCATTTACGAATGGACGCGCTTGGAGAGTGGCAAGAAACCCCTTCTCCAAGGGCAGAAAGGAGGAACACTTGCTCGAAGATGACGTTCTATCCGTGGCTGCCAGAAGAGATTTTTCCGTGCTCTGGTCGAATCACTTCGAATTTGGGTCGGGAAAAGAGAGAGAAGAGAGAACAGATCGCAGGAATTTAATTATTTTCATCCTGGCGGGACTTCGAGTCCCTGTCACCTCTTTTGGAATTTCTATGTTTTTGGTCGATGACGTTTCGTTGCGGACGGTCGAACGAGGAACATCTGCTTTACGGTCATTTGTATTTTTTATCATTTCCAGACGGAAAGGGTTAAGCAAGCCAAGCAAGGCCAGCAAGCTCGGTGATTTTTTCCCCTCGTCTCTTCCCCTCTCGATCGATGGCGTCTCGGCTCAACCCCGTTCCTCGCTCGTTCTTCGAGCGACCGCATTCTCCCAGGTTCAAGTTCATCTGTCACAAATTCGCTTAAAAAATCATTTGCATCGAAAAGTTTCAATCCTAATTATGGATATTGAAATAATGAGAAAACTAATTTAAACTTAAGAATTTAAAAACATACTCGAATGTATAAGAAAATGAAACCGTTCGAGAAAGAAAAAACCCAAGTAGCACGTAGGTGGCGGCCGACTACCTACATTTGGGAAGAGAACTGGTGGCCCTCCGATTTTGGGCCACCAGGTACACGTCCCACTTCCCAGCATTGGCCCGCCACCTTCCGGGCCGCTAAAGGGCCAGCACATTACCAGTTAGCTCGTTTGTGGTGTACCACCAGCTGAGAAAGGTTCTAATGCTTCCGTATGTATCCGATTCACCTCTAAATGTTGGCTTTGAAGCCTACTCAGAAGAGTACCCAAGAGTACCAAGACGACCCACTGCTCTCCTCTTCCATATCTAATATGGACCTCTGGGGGATGAGCAGAAGTCTACGAGTACCGAGGCGTATCATTTACACGAAGTGATATCTCGTATCAGGAAACTTAAGGCCCTGTTACACTTCAGGAGAGGAGAGTTAGTGATATCAAGAGGCGATTTCGCCCATTTCGATATCACGTGTCGAGGTCGAGCGTTCCTTAATTTTAGGGTAG